GACACGGCGGTGAGGGGGGGGTCGGTTGTGCCCCCCCCCCATTCCCGCCGCTCGTTACCGTCGCCCCGCTCGCCGCCGCCATGTGGAGCCGCCGCCGCCGCGCCGGGCGCCGCAGCCAATGAGAGAGCGCGCAGCCTCCGCGCGCGGCCAATCAGGGCGCCGGAAGGGGCGGGGCGTGGACTCGGGGAGGCGGGGCGAAGGGCGGGGCTGGGGGAGGAGAGTGCCGCCATGTTTGCTGAGGACTGCCCGGCCCGCAGGGGCCGTGCGGGCGGCCATGTTTGTTGAGGGCGGAAATGTTTGTTGGGGGCAGGTCGTCGCATGGAGAGGGTGGGGGCTTCCATCTTTGTTGATGGCAGAGCAACGCCTCGAAGCCGTTGGGGGCGACCATGTCTGTTAAGGGCAGCCCAGCACGTGGAGAACGCGAGTGGGGCCCCGTTTATTGAAAGAAGCCCGGAGCACGTGAGGGTGGCCATGTTTGTTGAGGGCAGCGCATTGTGTGTCTGTGAAGGCAGCCACCTTTGTTGAGGGCTCCCCAGCAACACGAGCCCCCCTCCCCCTAAACATCACCAGTGACGCCATGTTTACTGAGGGCAACCACACCGCCGAGATAAACACAGCCATTTTTATTGACGGCAAGGCAGGCGCTTTACGAGGCACCCACCGCCATGCTTGATGAGGGCAGCCCGCCCCCTGCCAGCACCAGGTGGGCGGGCTTGAGCCCCGGCCAGCCAATGGCGACGCTCCCCACGGCGCATCCCCAAACCCGCCCCCTCAAGGAGACGAGACCCCCACCCACAACAGGGGTGCCAGGACTGTCCCCCCACCCGCGCCAGCCCCCCGCGGGCACCAGGGACACGCAGCGCAGCGGGTGACAGGGAGCGCGGGGCGCTTTTATTGCCGCCCGCCCCCGTTACTTCTTCTTGGAGACGCCCACGGTGCGGCCGCGGCGCCCGGTGGTCTTGGTGTGCTGGCCTCGCACGCGCAGCCTGCGGGTGACAACGGCAGCCGTGAGGGGACGCCGGGGGGGGGGTGTCCCCCTTGTGTCACCCCCCCCGCGCCCCCACTCACCCCCAGAAGTGCCGCAGGCCCCGGTGCGCCCGGATCTTCTTGAGCCGCTCCAGGTCCTCGCGCAGTTTGTTGTCCAGCCCGTTGGCCAACACCTGCAAGGGGGGGACGGGAAGGGTGCGGGTGACGTCGCCAACACCCGGCGCGTCCCCCCCGCGGGCGGTGACACCCCCCCGGACCCACCTGGCTGTACTTGCCGTCCTTGACGTCCTTCTGCCTGTTGAGGAACCAGTCGGGGATCTTGTACTGCCGCGGGTTCTGCATGATGGTGATGACGCGCTCCACCTGGGGACGGCGTCACCGTCACCGCGTGTCGCCCGGCGCCCCCGGCGTTGTCCCCCCCGCAACGCACCTCGTCCTCGGTGAGCTCCCCGGCGCGCTTGGTGAGGTCGATGTCGGCCTTGCGCAGCACCACGTGCGCGTAGCGGCGCCCCACGCCCTGCGGGGGGGGGGACACGGTGACACGCGGGGCCTTGGGGACACCAAGGTGGGGGGGGGGGTCGCTGGGG